AGGAAGGGGGAAGCTGTACGAAATGAAATAACGGTTTGCAGTTTCGAGCGCGGTTGGACGGTTCCCGACGAGGAGCTTCACATTACCTTGAGAGCAGACTACTCTTTCATTCGTCATTACTTGTATTTCAAATCTAGGGACAACTTTGACAGTCATCAATTTGCATATGGAACATTATCGAACTCACAGGTCTCTATCAGAGGCAAAGGCGACTCGAGCTGTTTGATGGTCACTTCCATTGGGTCGTTCATGCTGCACTGCTGTAATTCTCAGTAATTTGATATAAGTATCTGCATCGAATAGAGATATAAAGAATGGTTGCAGTCTAGAAGGGCACAGATATGCAGAGTGATGAAGAATCTTTCAAAAGAAGCTAATTAGGTCAGCCTTCTCGCTGCACAACAGGGAACCTTTTCCTAACAATGCTCTCTTTCATGGCTTAGCAATCTGGAAGTTCAGAAGGGTTAGCATGGGAAGAAAGCCGACGTGTTTATATGTTATGGACCGTGTAGCAATGAAATTTGTATGAGCCACAAAATCGAATCTCTTTGAAAATCAGGAATGGGGTGGACTAGTTGGTGCCAAAGATTCCTGGGAGAAAATTGATTCCACTCAGAATTCATTCTATCTTGATGAGTCATTGTTGAGCTGGATACAGATTCAGAACTTCTTCTGAAAAGAGCGGACTCTTATCGAAAATGCTGATCATCGACGAACTCTAAGAAATATCCCTTACTATTTTTGTTGCAGATTTGCTACAGCTATGGTAACGGTGCTCATAAATAGGAAGAGAACCTGGCGCATGCTTCTCGACAAGTCTACGGTCCGATTGAAGCACAGTTCAATATTGGGGTGATTGGCTTTAAAGGCACTGTTCACGAAAAAATGGTTTCGGAGATTTGCACATGGTTTGAATTCGACGCCACCTCTGATACCATTTGTGCAAGAATGAGGTCGGAAATGGACTGGATAGGGCACAATAAGGGGCCAGAGAGTGAGCCACGGTCGCCCTCCGCCCCTCGCTAGGATGACTACAAAATCTAATTGCCGTTCACCACTTTCGCATTGGAGCGAAGTTTGTGAAAAATCGATAAGGTGGTTGGCGAATTGCCAGAGACTGCCAGTTAGATTGTCAGGCAAATTGGGTGTGTTGTCTGTTATTGCAGACATTGCGTCGCCTTCGTGCACTCGCCCGAACACTCCCTTAACCCCCGTTCTTCCAATGTGAACTCATCCAACCCCCCTTTCCAGCTCTTTTTTGACCCTTTCTATTTCTTTTTGTTCATCGTTTTTTTTGCGCTTTTTTCGTTGTTATCGCTTTATTCTAGGGTAGTTCTATGAATTCCTGACAAAAAGGGTACCCTAAATTTTTCGTAAACGGTGCCTTTAAGCTGAGTTTCATCGATGCAACGATCCGGATAAGATTACCACCGCCTACTGATGTTAAAGCTACAACTTGATAGCAAATCTATTCCTGCACAAGACAAAAGGTCACAATCCAACCCACCGTGCCTGTTCATATTCATTCGAAGGCATTTATCTAAGCGGCATGCTTGACATTGATTTCGCCTGACCACGTCCACTATGCAACGTCTCTCCTCCTTACATGTGTAGTGAAGCCGTCGACGAATGGATCTGGAAGGCTTCTGAAGGTTAGATGAGCGTGACTGCTAGGCAGATGCAAAACAGTTGAGTCCTTTTGCACAGTTTGTTTACTTCAAATTATACACGAATGAGAAACTGATCTTTCATGGACTCTGTTCGTTTCATGAAGTCCCTTTAGGTCGAGTTGTCTTAGGGAACTACTTTTCAATAAGCATCATAGTAGAGTGGCAAGTAGAGTAGTACACTTTCACACACGCATTGTCCAATGATCAGATCCAGGATCGGCATATGCTCAACCTAACTGACCATGAGTCTTCCATTCCTCTGGGATCGGGTGATTGGTATTCATTTGGGAAGACAAAAGCAGTGGCTTGTATACTGGCTGGCCACTGCATACGTTGGCAACCCAATGTGTAGGACACATAACCACTTAATACGCCACTGCTCTTCTGAATAGAAGTAGGATGCGGGGTATGTCCCAATGAACGGAATTGGGCAGAACCAAAAGATCTAACCTTTATTCCCATTTAACACTGATTGTATGACAGCGTACAATATCTCGAATCAAAGTCGCGCTTGAAAAAGGCTAATAAAGTAGGGTAAAGCTCCTGGCGTCAATCAATCCCGTCTGAGGGATGCGCCCCTCACTCGAATTCCTTCAGAATCGCAGTGGCGTCATGAGTGCGTATGTGACCTATACAATGATTTGTGGTGGCCAGCCGATGCACGAGTCAGTGCTGTTATACTCCCAGACGTCTAGTTAGTACAAATTAACCGACCTCGGAGGGACGGAAGGTTTGGTTGGCCTAGGCGGATATCGATGCGGGATTCGAACCCCTGATCATGCATGTGAGATAGTGCCCCACTGCACCACCTCCGCCCGAAAAAAAGACTAATATTCTTCAAAAAGGATGATATTCATACAATTCATTATTCTACTCCAGTTTTCGAGTCCTCATATGATAAAGACTCAACTATTGTTTAGTTTGACATTTCTCAAAAGGCTGGACGAGTTCAATGTGGGAATTCCAACGACAGTCTCTTCTTTTGGAGGAGCATAACAGGGCAATCATTAACAACTCTACCTTTTGAAAAACCCTCGACAACCATCGCAACTTTGCACTCCATAATAAAACCCTCGACAACCATCGCAACTTTGCACTCCATAATACCCTCGACAACCATCGCAACTTTGCACTCCATAATGGCGACCTACAAAAAATCACTTGCTTTTGTTATTATATTTCAAATATCAAATAATTCTACCTGATGCTCGATCTCCACAAATTAGACAATATAAATCAGCTTTAAGCATACTTGGAACCAGGGGTAAACTAAAAATTAGCAAATTATCGTCAGGAGTTTTGTGAGATGGAATCAGAGCCACCACTGGGGATTTGTTATGGGATATATCGTCAAGGGCGTTGACCTTAAATAGACCTGGCCAAAAAGTAGCGAAGCAAGAACGGATGAGGTAAAGGACCCGATCATGGGAATTCACGCCCCTGAGTCATACTTAACTGGGATTCTATCCTTTTCGGAAGACCTCTTCAACGGGGCTGGGGATCAGCTAATTGAAACAATGAATAATGCCCACTGACGCCTCTGCTCCTTCCACGTGGGAAAACGGCTTCACCAAAGAGTCGCGAGCCATTCCGGCGTTTTTCAACGGGTACTTCAAACGTCTGCTCACAGATTAGCCGAGCAAGTGAAGNATGGCCCATCATACTCGAGCTAAGCTGCTTTTCCAGCTTTTCTGAAAAGCTGTAAAGGAGTTTGTGGGTGAATTTCGCGAGAGTAAGATGACCTTTCTATGAAAAGAAAATTTTCTATTTCTATGAAATTTAGTCGAAAACAGAAAACTTCTTAACGATTTATAGTAAGTTTCTCCACTGCCTGATGACATGGATCGATGAAAAATTGGTCTTTCTTCATGAGTGAACTCATTAGACTAGAATACCTTCAAGAAGCAGGTCTGATGAATCAGAGATATCAGCTTATTTTGTTGGCTCCTCCAGAGCTCTCAGAGACAATACTGAGGACATTGGCGTTGGACGAGATGATGATTGAAGTGGTCTGGTAGAAGATTACCCCAGCTGCTGCCATTCTAAATGGCTCTCAGGAAGAACACGTGGTAATTGCAGTCAATGAGGTGTTGTAGTGGCAAGAGGCGCACTATAGCCTACACATGGTCGCAGGTTCGAATCACGGATCGATATCCGCCTAGACCCACCAAGCCTTCCATCCCTAACGGGTCGGTTAATTGGTATCGCACTGGGCTGGGAGGATGAAAGCATAGTTTCATACACCGGCTGGCCACCACATGTCATTGTATAGACCATATGCGCATTCCATACGCCACTACTATCCTAAATGGGAGCCGAAGGCAGGGCGCATCCCACAGACGGGATAGATTGACGAACCAGAAAGGCTATCATTTTATTAATTTGCAGCCAAAAAGATCCATTCTCTAGTTTCGATCGTTCCCAGCTCTGGGATGTCCTCATATCGGATTTCTGATTAGCACTGCATATTTCGTGGTACCTATTGGTTACGTCATTTATGCTCCGCCCATCTTGGACATCTCACAAATGTCTTCCACCTTCAGATAAGTACTCCTACATAGTACCTCAGTGAAACTGAGTAGTTTATAAGAGTTTGATGTTAAAAATATATTTTCTCCTAGAATTTGCATCCTCGCATAGCTAGATGCAGCTAATATTTCAAATATGACCCCGTTCGGCTTAACCAACCATCTTGAACTCCTATTCAGAAGGGTTACAAAGAAAGCTAGCTTTACCTGGCTGAACCCATAGATCAAATCCATGATAAATTCCAGTGCTCAGCAGATCGGTGTCAATTTGTTGCCATGTTATTCGTTTTCAATGAGAAGTATTGCGGGTTTTGTTGTTATGTTACCATGGCGACGTGGGTGAGAGCGAGCGGCTATGTCTCTGTGGAGCTGTTCAACGGTGAACATATCCAACTGAATTGTACTATGAACAGCTGCTGAAATGTCGTCATAATGGCTACCGGGCTCCTTTCGCCTTCGCAACTTCGGCAAATTCTTTCAGCTACAGATGAGCCATCCAACTTGATGGAAGTGATTAACTTAGGCCGTTTACTGGCTGCTTTCTACCTCGATTATCCTCTTTTCGTGCCTCAACCCGGATCAGCTTATCCATCACTGTTTCTTTGGTGTCAGCTCAGTGATAAAAGTAAGTTATTCCTGACAGAATTCATATAACTGTAATTGTTGAAGTTGCTAACGACCGTACTGTGAAGTAAAAAAAAAAACCGCTAACTCGATCACGACCAGGTGCCCTTCGCGACTGAGGAATTTTTTTCCTTTCAGAATTTACCTTCCCAAATGGGAATTGTAAAGTGGGGTTTTCGAAGTAAATAATTCTCATCACTATTTAAGTGGACAAAAGCAGTCCAAGAATGAATATCCCGAGAATTCAACCTTATAGCATCAGTTTCTTTGCCTTCTGTCAGCCAACCCACTAATTTTGGCTTAGCACGCGATGCATATGTTATCGCCTCTGCTCGGTCGTAGGTAAAAAGTTCTGTTATTAAGAAGAATGGAGGTGAACTGGGATCAAATGGCCATCTACTAAAAACCATGAGCATGTCTAACAATGGGAATTTGCATTGATTTAGAAAAAGTTCAACAAAAGGCCCTGACCAATCGTGCTATTTCTCTCAACTCAAAGTCCGTTTGAGACACTTTCGGCACTGGGCGATACCTGGAACCCTCCTCTTATTCATTTCTTGAAACCTTTTATTTTTTTACATTTGAAAGTTTTTTGTTCTTTTTTTTGAACATTTCTTTGTAGCCGTGATTCTGAGTTTATTGCGTGGCAATGAATAACAAATTTGTTTTCAAAACGAGAATGTCCATTTCCTATAACACTTGCCTAATGAGCCAATTACTTTACCCCTCGATGACATCATTTTGGTATCATTCTGGTTGAATTACATGATGACGTCTTTCCCACACTATAGAGGGTCACCTCAGGCGCCAGCTCAGAACCTTAGGGCGAACGTATAAACAATTTGGAGCTTCAGATTTTTCGAATTATTGAAGATGAGAACGAATGGCGGGTGAGTGTTATGGACTATAGTTATTAATTAATTAATAACAACTATCTGTTATTGATTATTAAGCAAATGTCATGATTTACTATTATAGTAATAGTATTGCCCCAAGTGACTAATTTGATGTAACAAGAATTTTCTTTCTCATTTTCTCCTTTTCTTTTTTTCTGTCCTGATTTTGATGCTGTGATTGATGCTATGATGTAATGATGCTATGATTTTTAGTCTATCCTCTTCCTTTTGAATACCCATGTTCATCACTTCCTNCTTTCCCACACTATAGAGGGTCACCTCAGGCGCCAGCTTAGAACCTTAGGGCGATCATATAAACCATTTTGGAGCTTCAGATTTTTCAAATTATTGAAGTTGAGAATGAATGACGGATGAGTGTTATAGACTATAGTTATTAATTAATTAATAACAACTATCTGTTGTTGATTATTAAGTAAATGCCATGATTTACTAGTAATAGTGTTACCCCAAGTGACTAATTTGATGGGACAAGAATCTTTCCTTCTCTTTTTCTCCTTCTTTTCTTTTTTTTCTGTCCTGATTTTGATGGCGTGATTGATGCTATGATGTAATGATGCTATGATTTTTAGTCTATCCTCTTCCTTTTGAATACCCATGTTCATCACTTCCTTTTCAATGAAGTCTTCTTAGAAACGGACTGATTAGCAGTCGCTGCTACTCGGTTCGTTGCACGTTTTCCACGAGAATGGCATCATAAGAACTAAAAGGACACGAATCAGAGCAGCACTGTTTTCTAAGAGTTCTATTAAAAGTGCATTTCACTCGTGCACGGATTCGTTTACACTTATTCACTTTCTATGAATAATATATCAGATATAAAAGTCTGTGGTTGCTGTTAGCTGATTTTCTGAAAGAAATCTCATTTAAACTGACTTCGTTACCTATAAATAGAGTGACTACTAATATCAGTAATGATTGAGTAAGCTGCTTCTACTCGCTATGAAAAGTATGAAAAGGGGGTATGGGTATATACGTGCGTCCGAGGATGCGCACGGCGAAATTCGTGGTGATTTGAACGATTNTGACGCCAATTTTCGGGGCACAACTCAAAGTAGAGTAGGTTAGTAGGGTCAAATCCTACTAGACTATCCTCTTAATCTACTCTATTTCAAATATGGGCCCCAAACTCAAACCAAAAAACTATCTGCCCATATAAAATCAAGTCTTCAAGTGAAAATTCTCAAGATAACGAGTTATAAACAAAACCTTTGATGTGCCTTGAACCTGTACTTGTATTTTCAACGCAGTGATAAGTTTTATTGACCGTCACGGTCTCTATAAAGGCGAGTCTAGGTTCGACCTGGAACAAAAACTTCCCCAGAAATTGTCAACAATGCGCGTCTCTCAAGTGAGTTTGGCACCTAAGCGACATCGAAGGGATGAAGCTTGGTTGATCTAGCCGGACATTAGTCCGGAGTTCGAACCCGTAACCATGCGTGTGATTCAGTTCACCATTTGCAACTACACCACCTCCGCCATGCATCATATATTGTATAAAACAACCAATGTGAATAGAATTTAATAGCTCATATGAATCTCATTAGATGGAGTTAGTAGAACTATCGTCGAGCACTTTCATTTCAGACCTCCCTCCAGGAAGCCTGCCTCTGAGTCGAGAACAATTGGGCCAAAAGCTACCTGCAGAATATGGCCCACGTGCGCCTGCTGTGCTCTTAACCTACTGCGGCCTAGTGCTGGAAGCGATTCTCTACTGTGATCACTTCAGCGATCCAAGGTCTTCACTACTGTTGAGGATTTTTGCTGACAAACAATATGGGTAAGGTCATATACGATTCCGGGGTCGCAGTCCACAGACGATTTGTTGGTGTTATTCTAGCCTATCCCTGTGCTCGACTTACTATGAGGAATTGTGGACAACACAGCTGACAAATCGGTTGGAATCACTAGTAGAAGAACAGGTCACCTCGGAACACAGTGTTCAATTCTGCCGCAGATACGTACAAGTGAGTTCCAAGCTTTATCTTTCAACTTCCTTTGTATGTAAAAATTTTGATGCCTAGACGGCGCTACTTGAAAACGACATGGTCCTCAACAAAGGTAACCAATTTTGTCCTGGGGTTTTCAAGGGCACAATTCAGGATGAAAAATGCTTCTGGGTCTTCTCTCTCAGATGAATCTACGGCCTCAAAGGGTAGCTCCAAGAACACTATACGGTCAAAAAACAGCTAGTTAGGATTTAGCAAAGGCCCTAGTACCGGCTCAACCGACGTGCACCCGCAAAGGTGGACGAATTCTCACGGCGTTCTGCAGATTCTAGAGACTGCACCGAAGCGCACACGTTGCACGTAGGTAGTTTATTGTAGCCAATGACACAAACATTCGGGCAGCTAATCCAAGTACCCCATCCATGCAACTGCCATCCCATTCTTCGTCCAGCCCCAGTTTGACTATTACACTTTTTTGGATCCTTGTATTTTTCTAAATAGCATATTTTCGCGATTTCTTCTCCAAGTTGGCACAATTTTCTCACCATTCCTTCCATAGCTACTCTGGAATTAGATACCCGTGAATTACCGTGAGTTGGGCCTTCAATGCGGCTAATAAGACGTTCAAAGGTTGTCCTATACTATAGGAGGACCTTCTGGTAATATGGACACGAAGTCGTTATGACACCACTGGGATAGGAGCATCTCAACTTAGCTGCAATCAGTTTCCTACAAACTCGCTTACCATAATATGATAATAAAAAGTCCTTCAAAGATAGGCATACTCAAATAAATTGAAAAATTAGTATGAGTAGGATGAGACTGTACTATTGTCTTCTTTTTCAACTTTGTTTTCATTTTTTCTTCTTCATTTCTCTTTAAATTTTTTCATTTTCCTTTTGTGTTTTTCAACGTCTCGATGATCCTTGAAAAAGGGCACATAATTTTTATGCTTCCCTATTCTGTAGTAATTCCTCGTGGTATGCGGTTTACTTTCAACCCTTTGATATACAGTACTTTTTGTGCTGCCCTTTTTGTTCGGAAAGATGAATTTTCTCTAATTTCTGATTCTCTGTAGTAGCCTCTCCGCTTCTGCTGAGTTGAAGACAATTTCCCATCTCTCATTTCCCCATTCTTTTCAAAGCAACCGGCATTTATGCCTTTACTTTTCCCTTTTCACATAATCACCCTTCACTTTTCATTATACTAATAATAAACTTAAACGTTTGCAGTCAGTGTTGGAGCTGGACATATTCAGCAATGCGAACGACCTGTCCCTGCTCCAAGCATTTATCATCTCACAAATTGAGGTTCTTTTTGCTCAATTGCCGCTCCGTGTGCAAGACACGTCAATCGTAAGTGGTTTCCATTTTTAGTGAAAGTCACCGGTATGTCACAGTGGAACTAATTTCAGCTTCCACGCCCTCCTGTCTATTGTGCTCCAAGCGTCAGAGGCGAATCGTTGGAGCTGAAAACATTCTTTAGAATTCATCTCTACCTGCAAACATTGTTGATTTCACTTCAGAAGACAAACAGAATGGGTATCGAGATCAACCGGATTCACAGTGTTCTCTCTGAAGAGAACAATAATGTGAGTTTTTGTTGAAGTTTTACTGAAACATTGATGTGAAATCTCTGTCAGCTAGCAATACCTTTTTCAACGAAGGACCCGTTAAAAAACAAAAGTGCCAACCTCCCGACGCTAAGCCAAAGTCCGAAGAAAGGCTTCTACTATTTCTACTGTTATAATCCTTGGGTTGGTATTCACAGCATATGAAGCTCACAACCAACCATGTACCTACTCATTCACGTGGAGTTGGGCAATTTTACGCACTTGGCACCCCAGAGTGCGGTGAGGTAAGTCCCCGTTGAGAATTTGCCAGCCCACATCTTCTTTACCAGCCCTTAGCTCTGTTCTTTGTTCTCCCGCCCTTCTCCCTGATTAGGTCATACCATTTTTGGCCAATTCAAGGAGAGGGGTAGGAGTGCACAGCACAGAGCTTGGAACTGGTGGACCGGGACCAACATCTTTGGATGGAGCAGATGCCATCCGGCTCTTCGCAATTTATTCGCCCCCTATACGACGATCGAGCAGCTGGCTGCCGAACCCATCGGATATCTGAGCGCCTCCTTACCACGGCGCTGGGAAATGGTATAGGGCTACAGTAACCCGCATAAGCAATCGTTACACAAGAAATCCCTTCACTTTACAGAGTTTTTGTATGAAATTCAACTAAGATGTAGAAGGAGCAAAAAGCAATAATACTGTATTTAGTCAAAACCAGCTCAGTCGATCTTGATGCGGGCACTCGTTATAGTTCTGAGGACAATCTACCGGGATCAGTTCAGTTTGGCAGTCGCAGAAAAGCAGGTAAGAATAAAGGGCTATGTCTTCAATTGAATGTGTAATACTTTTAGGGTCACTGAACCAATATTATACTACTATATAGACCTAAAGCATCAATATGATAATGCATGATGACTGATAAGGGAATCGATAGTGAATACTGGAATGCGCCGCATATTCAACGTACGGACACAATTTTAGTTTTTAAAAACCTGTCTTGAATTGATTGGTTCCAGCTGATTTTGAAACCACTGCTTCTATTTTCCTGGACGTATCTTTCACCACTCATCCAACTCCAAATATGGCAGCTTCGGCTGTGGTAGTGACCTCGATTTACAAAATCCTATCTTTCCCATAGTCAGAAAGGTTTCTCAGAGAGGGCAGAATAGACGCACTTTATTAGAGCTGTATGACACGATCATAGGACTGCCATCGGTTGGTGTGAATCTGAAGAGAAAGGGTCGTGCAGAAATCTGCGATGATCGAGAAACAACATCAGAAAAGTTATGACATGCGCGAGCCGGCTTAAACAGTCTGGTGATGAGAAGCGACCTGACGATGAGTAGCTACAGCACCTGCATGACATCGATGCCTCACATCCGACTCTGTTCGCCTTTTTTTTAGTTATAATTTGGCCACTCATTTTCTAATAAACAGCGAGTGCGGTATTTTGAGCGCAGGAGAAAATAAAGTTGAAGCTACAGGGTGGTATGTCGCTAACAAAAGAGCTGAAAGAAAACGTCTGAAGCATCGAAACGCCACGAACCACCGAGCCAGTGACTCTGACCAGTTTATTGGAAATCATTGGCAGTATCAGAGGCTGAGAAGAAGCGGTTGTACATTTAGGATCCGTTTATTCGCTCCGCTCTCCGAAGATACAGCAGCTCGCCACGATTGATATTCGGCTTCAGTTTTTGCTCAGAAAATTCATAATCATCTAATGCTGCTCCTAACTTCATTGAATTAACCATATTTCAGACTGATGTGCCATCGATCGCTTCAAAATACAATGCTTTGATAGCAGAAACGGATAAGGAAACATCACAGCTGAAATCGTAAGTCAAATCTGATGTTTGTAGAAAAGTGTACTCAAGCAAAGTTATCGGGCAATGGAATTTAAGTTCACCTTCACCGCTGATCTCATAATCGGTTCTAGCGAACTTTAGTGCATAATTAGAGCGAGCCATTTCTAATTCTTTCTTCTGATGAAGTTTGGCTATTACAGTACCGTTTAAAACAACAACCTTCCCTGACACTCATAAAAAGTATCCGCTGTGGATTTAGAAGCTGGGGATCAGTGAGGAACTAGTATAGTGCCTAGAGGCACATTCACTATGACGCGCTTGGTATAGGGATTCTGAATGGTAGTTGAATGAGGAGGCACATTCCAAGACGGGATTGAACGACACCAAAAGACTACAGATGTTGTTTATATTTTCATGTCTCATATGACCTTAGCTACTGTATATTTTAGATGGATGGCACTCTCCACTGAGAAAGATCGCGAACACGTTTGTCGCTTCCTCAACTTCATCGGCGAACGCTTCCCAGAAAAAGTAGGTTTGATATCAGCTTATCTTTATAGGCGTTTTTGCAAACAATTTTGTTATGCGATTTTCTTTATTTCCTTGAAGGCGGGCCAAGGACGAAGAGGAACACAGCAAGTTGCATTCCAAACTTCCAACTGAACTTCTTTTCACTCCTCTTTCCACTCTAGGAATTTTTATGATAATCATAATGGACACCACACTTAGCTTATCACCTGTGAGCTTGTGACGCACATTTATACATATGTTAAGCTCTTGCTTAATACGTTGCTCACTAGAGGGAATACACTGCGGTCTATTGCTATCAGCATTGGCTCTCTAGGGACGAGTAATAACGTAATCAAGTGGATTGTACTGCTTAAGCCCATACCCAATATAGAGGTAGAACGATGCTGATTAATCTCGCGAAACAGTGACATTCCCAAATCCATGATAGTCATATACTTCATCTCCCACTGCCCTCACCCACGAGCAGGGGTCACGCTTGGAAATGATTGTTGCTACTGGTACCAAAATGATTGCGGAATATGATAATTCAGTATAACTCGCAAAAAGTTGAGCTCAAGCTTCCCTACTCACTTCTTTCATTTACATGGTCCACTTGAACAAGTGCCATCATCCGGCAGAAAGTGCCGTTAAAGGGATCCTTTGAATCTTAGTCTCAATCTTTCTCTACACTTCTTATCATGGTTCTAGACGTTTCTAGGGACGGTCATCTGGTCAGAAACGATTTTTAGGACTGGGGATGAATTCTGATCTTTATACATTTGTGATAATGACTCTAGATATGTTTAAACAGATCAAACAGAGATCTTAGAAATCAACTGGTACGAGACTAGTCGCTTGCAGACTGATCTTCCACCGCTTACCGACCTTAGTCGCTCAATTTGGAAAACGGCCATGTTTCACAAAGAGGGCTACCGAGAGTCGAAACAAGATTGGCTCTCCTCTGTTCTCACAACACGCTATGAGGTGAGTTGCTTTTCTCGCTGCCTGTTTACCTATTTTGAGAGAGGTGACTTTCTGCATACCATGACGCTGCAAGCCGACCAGTCTGGAACTAATCGGAACCATACTGTACTTGTGAACTAAGCTCATGTCTAAGCTTGTCTCACATTCTCAGAAAGACCATCATATCCATCCTGGAGAGAAGTGCTCTCTTACGGTACTGTAATGACTGAACCACTTACAACCTTGCAAAAACATAGTCTCATTTTTCAGAAGGGTTAAGAGGTATGGTATACTGGCCCACCAGGATGCTAATGTAACAAATTCTAACAAAAATTATTCTTCCCGCTGAGAGATTATCTGAGCCTGATTCCGATATTTCAATTGCCTTCTTGACATTTACCATTTTCAGGTGCCTCCTGCTACGTACGAATTGATGCGACTTGTGGCCACCGATTGGACGACCCCGATGGCACTGGATGCCTCTCTGATCCCGGTCCTTTTGAAACTACATCCCGATGACATTTGCTCATCTTCGCCATCAGTGCCAAACCGACTTTGCCAGTCGGCTCGAACACCTTCCCAGCAGACAACCCAACAATTCGCCAACAGAGTCTTCTCGCCTAGGACAGACGTCGTCGCTCTGTATGCTGAACGGGCACGGACCCTTCTGAGGAATGATAGCCAACGGACATTGGTCACGAATGAAAAGAAGATCCGAGCTTTGCAGGAGAGACTCAGGAAAAACCTAAAGGTGCAACGGCAACTGGAAGAACATGTCAATGGAGAGAGAAGTTTCTTGGAAAGCATATCATCATCTTCGTTCAGAAGCAAAGTGGAAAGAATGCGACCGGTTCTGTCGGAGAGGATATCACGATCACCTGGTACCTCGTTCTCTGGTCTAAAGGAGGGCACCAAAGCGATTGAAAGAAGTTTGCGTCTTCTGGATAATACCCTGAAGAAGATCAAAATTCCTTCAGACGATCCACGTCCTGAAGCGAATTCATCTGAAAGTGATTTTCAAGAGACAGAAGAAGTCTTCGAAGATGTTCTTCCCACCGCTAAGGAAGACTTCAGCGCTGTTGAAGATCTAGACGATCTGCAGTTGAATTACGATGAAGCGGCGGCTTCCAAAAACCCAGTACCCCAAATCTCTAAACTTGATCTTAGCCTTCTTTCTCCACATGTCGATATTCGGACGCATACTACAACCAAACCACCAAAGGCTCCGTCTCAGCGGACCCTGGGCCTACCCGAATGGATGCGTCTATTGCCTCTTGAAGAACCTGTTAGCCTTAATCGACTACCATTGCTCCAGTACAGTCCACCGGTTCAGCGGGAGTGGAAAACCGAGCGCTGCATTCAGACCCGTGGATTCAATGTCGATGTGACAGAGACGGCTTGTCAGACGACAGAGGACGATCGAAACCCGCCGGATAGTGGATTTCTGGATGTTGTCGAGAAATCTCCAGGAAAAAAGATCGAAATTATTCAGCCAATGTCCAAACAACATATCCGGGAAATGCTTAGCCAAATGTAAAGTTCGCAGAACAAATCTATAAATATAGTTTTGTATAATAAAGTTGAACAATGTATCATTGTTGCAGTGTAAATTTCTACTCCCCACTTTCACATCGTTTTTCATTTTCTGAAATTCTGAAAAGGATTTCTAACTGATATAATCATAGTTCAATTGAAAGGCATTGATCAGAAAGGCTAGAAAATGATCAGGATTCGTACATACAGGACCAAAAATAGCAGCTAATAAATGCATTGAGCCAATCTTACGTGTCTTGAAGAATACTCTAATTGTAAACAGCAAGCTGCCCTAATAATAATGAGCATAAGGCCTTCATTCTAATGGACTCAGGGACTCTCTCAATACATAGTTCGCCACTTTCAGGAATCCAATGGGTCGAGGTGGCAACTTTCTTAAAAATTTACCTAAGAACATGGTCAAGTACAAGGCTCTCTCTGATTATACTTCTCCCACGCGTCCTTCACAATCGATTTCCAATGTATGAAGAAGGCGAAGGGATCAAAATGTCAGCTTAATGAAGTTCCATTATCTTGAAAGGCTTTAAGACTACGCTCACAAGTCGAAGTTCACACCAATATTAAGAGAAAGCCGATTGAAGCACGATTATTTTTTAACCAATCTGACCATCGACTTAATTGTTATCATACTTGAGGACTGAATGGTTCAGAAATCTGCAATTCAACGAAACGTCGCTACAATTGCCATTGGAAGCTTGAATCCAGCGACTTCGGAACGCGAATTTGTTGGGTTCTACCATACTCTAACTCATATTAATCCGATGATAGCCATGATCAGTGCACACCAAAAATTGGCTAAATATCACAAAAAATTCGAATTTCACGAAGATGCTATTTAACAGTAAAATATGTAAGACTTGATCCATGAATTTCTAGTTTCCTACAGTTAGCAGAATTTACTCTACTCTGAACGAAACCCTAACTAAACAGCCATTATGATAGACGGCAGAAAACTTGATGCGGCTCTGGACCACTCGATTTTTCTTTCCCTGCAGAGCTACTCATTTGGTACCAGGCTCATGTCGGTACATCGGCTTACTCCATAAGGGCAAGTCACATTATTTTCAGACTCTACAATGATTCCAGTAAAAATCTAAACACTCCCAAAACGGAATCGTCAATGCCCATAAACTTTGATTTCTTATCTTCCCAAGCATTCGAAAACAAGTTCGAGTAGGGCGAAACATTCTTTGAACAAACATTTGTAAATGGAAATTTTGCATTACAAAGAGATTCTGAAGGTCGATCATGACTCAACGCAGACGTATAGTAGATGACGACGATAGTTTTCAAATGTAACGAGGCGTGAAGACGATGGTGACTGGTATGCACGTCTGTAAATAGGCAATGAATAAGCCTTATCGGACAATTGTTCGTTATCAGCTCTACCATTTTACTGTCCCAGTCTTGTTTTGGAACAGTTACAATTCACACAAAACCGCTCACTTATTATTACTTTCGCTTCGCCGAACTAACTCTTTTTTCCTATATGCTCAACTTTATTTTTTTCCGTGCAGGTAGCTGCTCATTGTGTTAAAAGGACCATCACTTGTACTCAATGTGATTGTGAACGAGCTGTGTGTGTGAGAGAGAAATAATGATTCTCAGTTTAGCTGTCCTGGTCACTCTTATCGATAGCGCCTTTTATAGGGTTACTTGGAAAGGGTTTCGTTCTCAGCATTATCAGCTGGAATATTTGAACAAGGCTATTCATAAGGATGAAGCCTTTGGGCGTTGATCATTCCCGTCTGGGGGTTGCGCCCCGCAATCACTTCCACTCGGAACAGTAGTGGCGTAATGAATGCATACGTGGCCTATACACTGGCTTTTGGTGGTTCGCTGATGTACAAGTCAGTGCTCTTATCCTCCCTGACGAGTCGGCTACCAATCAACAGACCGCGTAGGGATGAAAGGATGGTTGGCTCGGCAGATACAGACCTGGGATCCGATCCCGTGACCGTGTGATTATTAGAAAATCAGACAAAAAATTGTGGTTAACTCCTACACATCACTTGCCTTCCGATCTGATCTAAATGATAGAACCCTTTTTTCATTTTATTACCTTTTTCGTGTACCGCTTCATCGTAAAGGTTGTCTTACAACTTTGGAAGGATCGATCGTGCTCCAGGCTCACAAAAATAACTATATAATAGGCTGAAATGATGGCAAGACTCCTCTTCCTCCTTTCACTTTGCAGTACAGGTCAGAGGAAAACCTTTTTCTATTAAACATTCACCTTATCTGAAATATGTTTTGTTCCTAAAACTGATAATACGAACTGATAAAGCAGAATTCAAGAGGTAGAATCAAGAATTGTTACGTTAAAGAGAAAAATATGTTTTGTTCCTAAAACTGATAATACGAACTGATAAAGCAGAATTCAAGAGGTAGAATCAAGAATTGTTACGTTAAAGAGAATTAAGGTGAAGAGAAAAGTGGAAGCAACTTCATTTCCTACTTGATTTCACACTGTGTGAGGAGCAGCGAGCAAGTGTTTGGGAGTAATCCGCAACCCGTGATTTTGCTATACATATTACGACATACTTTGTGGGTGTGTGTACATTCGTGCGATTTCAACCGCGCGCGGCAAAATTTGTGGCGATTCGAACGACTCTGAGGCCTATTATTGGGGCACAAACTTGAAACAGATTAGTTAAGTCGAGTCGGCTGACACTACTAATCTACGCTACTTGAAATTTGGGCCCCAATAAAGGCGCTGAAGTCGCCAAAATAGTTATGAATTTCGTCTCGCAATTTGCCGCGCGCAGTTCGGATCGCACGAATTTACCGTCCCCCTACTTTGTCCTACCTACAGAGGTTGCGCTCATTGTAGGAATCCCAGTTCCACCAACTTCTATCTCTATGTATCATCATCTTACGAATGATCCTATGCTTTAACTAACTTTTGTTAGCAAAGGGAAGATTATTAATGTCGCTAGAGCTCTAGAGGTATTACGGGCTGCTTCAAAGCAAAAAGTTGGTTCAATCTCAACGACCGCTGGACATCGTCTTTTTACAAATAAAAATCTCCTTGGCTAATCGCAGAGTGTAACTTCAGCGTGATCAATAATGTTTGAACAAATTACGAATTTTCTTCCTGCACGAGTGTGAAATGCTCAGTTAAAGCTCACATGGGGACGTAAAACACGACTTCCCACTGATATCGTTGCCACCTTCAAAGCCCTTATCACTTTTACAGCTGAAAAAAACTTTGAATAAATTCAACTGCCCTGTGAGTAACAGTGATAGGAAAGTACCCTCTATCCATCTTGAGGCCAATACCCAAGTACTCCATGTGTTGGAGAGAAAATAAAAATTGTATTTGGGTCTCTTTCGATGTAGCTATTCGGTACAGTACGGTGTCCACAGCGAACTCCTCTTCATTCCGGAAGGATATGCCTCCTTTAGCTCTCATGATAATGATAATGAATAGATGTTGAGTGACAATCGGAAGGGCCTAAACAATTTATAGCAAAAAAGTACGACCTCTCTGGCCCCTCTTCACTTGATCTAAAGATCGTGTTCGTCTCCGATGGCCCTGGCGTCCTTCATTACAGAGTTCCTGATCAGGTGGCAGTGTTGGAGTTTAATTGTGAATAATAGAAGATAATAGAGAAGAGCCTGCCAGAAACACATCCCATATGGATAACGTAAGAGCGCCCAGCCTTCTAGCAGGACCGATAAGGCTCTCGCGAGATGCTCCAAGCGAAATCTGTCTGACCCATAACTGGAACTGATCCTGACCCTTCCCTTTCTGTGGTGAATCAACTTCGCATTCATGAATTCCCTGTCCTCCAAAGTATCGTAGAAAGAGAAAATTTTTTATTCAATTGAAAACAAAGGTTAAGCAAACAACCTTCCCATCGTATATGAACAGCTTTGTGTTGGAAAAGGTTTCATCCGCCTGTGAAACCTTGAGCTGGAGCAGAGTTGCAAGCACTGACATTCATTCCAATATTTCTTATTTACAATGAGAAAGCATTTGAACGGAGTAGCGATGTCTGAAAACCGAAGAGAAGGGAATAAAGAAATTTAAAACAGTGAAGAGAAATTTTTTCGACCGATCCCTACCTGCAACGAGCAGCTTGACAGAATAAATGAAGGCATTCTAGAGTATAGTGTTGAACTTGCTGATTATGCTCAGGATAGGAAATATCGTATTGCCTCACCAGGCATTTAGAATAATCCACATGGGACGCTCCACTGGATGTAATAAGAATTAAGAGTTTTATGGACAGCAACAAAAGCTCGACTGGAATTCCCCTCAACAAATTTCATAGTAGTACTCAAATGGAAGTAAAGATGTGGAGACTGGTGAAACGAGTTCTCTCTAGTAAAAAAAGGTGACACTAATTTTTTCCATGTTCTTTATAGTAAACAAAAGTGTTTACAAACAATTACTGGAACAATCAGTCAGGGCAATATTATCACTTTCAGGTTTCACGTTAATGTGCAAGAGGTGCGATGGTTACATTTCCTGTTCGAATGAGATGTCTGAAGAATGCCCTTCTTACATGCAATGTTATACCATTAAAAACCAAGGCATAGGTAAGAACAAAGTTATGTTGGCAATTTTGGACTAAAATTGGTTTGATCTCTCTCTCTCTACAGTACTCCGTTGTGGTCCAGTCTCTGGGTGGAACGTCCTTTTCGCGCTCGAAAGTAGGGCGCCCCACCCACTTCGCGTGTGGCGCATCCCACTGAGGTCTCAACATGACATCACCAGGCGTAGCGAACGATTTGCATTTGTCCGTGTTATCTTCTCTATGAGGTGATTGCTGTGGATAAACGCAAGTATGCCCCACCGTCAACTGCGACGCCCGTCAAGGGGTGTGTTGCGATTCGTGCGATTCTGGGTGCGCGCGACAAATTGCGCGGCGAAATTCGGTGCGATTTGGACGCCTGCAACGTTGATCATTTCCCAAATTTGAAGTGAAGTAGTTCCTGCCCTAATGATAGACGCCAGAGTTGTTTGAATCATCA